TTTGTTTTTCGAGTCCTGCAGGAGCCAGACTGTGTAAAAACCACAAGTCCTTCCTGTGCTGAGTTTAAAACACAGAACCAACGTTAAATCCGTCCAGTCAGCGACGGCAGCAGCACCGAAGCTTTGGACCGAGCTCCTCCTGCTCCACAATGTGACCATGAAAATGTGACAAACTCATCGTGCAGCTTAACAAGTGGAGGAGGAGGAGGAGGCGAGCTGTGGGGAGAAGAGAGGGAGGAGACGGGTGTGAATCGGTCAAAAGGGTCAACTAATCAAGAGGAGGGGAAATGAGACGGCCGGGTGGGGGAGGACTGAGCAGGGTTACCATAAATGACTGTGAAATGAGAATCCGAGGAGGAAGAGCTGCAGCCAGAGGAGGAAGAAACGAGTAAGAGACGGCAGGAGAAAAGGGAGAACGGGGATGAGATGAAAGGCTGGTGGTGGAGGGAACATTCTGTGATATTCTCCTGGTGCAGAGACGCCGCCGAGCAGGAGGAGGAGGAGCCGAGCAGGACGGAGGGATTTAGAGGAAAAACCAGATAAAACGAGGGAAAGCACACGGAGGGGAATATAAAAGGAAGAGAGATGAGAAAGGAGCAGGACAATGGCAGGGTGTGTGAGAGAGAGTGAAAAATCTGCTTAAGTCATTTCTAAATCCTGTCAAAGGAGGAAACACAGGCCGAGCGACGACACCGTCAGACTGAGCTGGTTTCCCGTTTAACCCTAAAACCCGTCCGCAGCTTCCAAACCCAAGTTCTCTGTTCATAAATCAGCAAAACGACGCCGACGCTCGGAGCCAGAAACGATAAAACAGAGAATAAAGCAGAGGCTGGGCTTTCCGACGCTCTTTGAAACACTCATCTGGGACACAATGGACAGACGAGCAGAACCAGATCTCACCTCTTAGGTTTTTACCAAAGTCGCTTTATTCTTCGTTTAAAACTCCACCAAGTTCATACGATGTGAACCAGACTGTGTAGAACCTCGGCTGATCAGCAGAGACACAACGGGAAACTTTAGGAAAGTTGACCAAGTCTATCGTTAAAGTTCACATATTTGATCAGAACCACTATTCTACACGTCTCGGGTCAACATCAGCAACAACAGATCAGACTCTGGAACTGAACCTCTTCAGGTGTCGGTTCGTCTAACAGTGACTCAGCTGTTTATTGTCACGGAAATTTAACCATTTTTTAGTTTTTAATTTGCCAAAAATAAACAATTTGCACCAATCAGATTCTCCAGAAAACAAAGAACTGTGCGTGTCTTGGTGAGTCGGTGACCGACGGTCACATGACCAGAATCCAGGAAGTATTCAGAGGAACTGCAGGCGGTGTTTCCAGACAGTACCGTAATGTCTGGACTATAAGTCACTACTTTTTCCCACACGCTTTGAAGGCTGCGGCTTAAACAGCGATGCGGCTGATTTATGGATTTATTGGACTTACATTCAGAGGGGCTCTATAGTCTGGACATTACGGTAGATGGAAGAAACAGAATTAAAAAGTTAACAGTTAAAAATCTACAACATGTTCCAGGTAGAAAAGTGCTGCACATGTTGATTCCAGGTGTTTTTACTTTTGTAGATTAAATAATCGAAGAAATTCCACTTTTGTAGTTTTTTCTATGATTTACGGTATTCTGAGTCCTGCTGCCAGAAGAGTTCTCTGAGTTCTTCAGGTTCTGGTTCCACAGAGCTGCAGGACTTTATGCTGCACAGGAACACGAACCAGCAGCAGATCAGAGGCAGGAAGTTCTGGGCGCCGTCGGCCTTCATCGGCTGCTCCTCGCTGAACTCACACTGAACCTGAATCAGGCCTTCACTGATTCATTTTTCATTTTACTCGTTCCCTCTGAAGGCTTCTGGACGTTTTATATTCTTCAGATAGAGCTCGGAGCAGAAAGCCGGATGCTCCAAAGTGAGAAAAGCCACATGCACAAGTGTTTGAGGCTCATTGGGAACCCGGCACACGGCGGCCACGCCCGGCTCGGCTCTCCTCGGGGAGCCGGCTCCTGATTGCTGCACGCCGCCTCTTTAGCAAATCTCCTCCACTAATGAGAATCCTCCCTGCAAATGTTTCCTCTGTGTGTCCAGAATATTCATCACAGTTTATCTGGGAAGCCGCTGCAGAGCAGGAGAACGGATCGCTTCTCCTGCTCCTCGCTCCTTCTCCTGCCGCCAGCGACGAGCAAGAAGGAGGTTAGAAGGACGAGTCGGGAGGAGACACGAGTCCTGCAGCAGGCCGACTCCTGAGAAACTCTGATCCTGTCGGTCCTGACATGCTGCGGTCGCATGAGGCGCTCTGCAGCTACAGCACGAAGCATGAACACTCCATGTTTCTGTGTTTCTATGTATGTATGTGTCAGGACGCCTCCCCTCCCCCAGCAGCTGCTCTCCAGATTCTCTCTGAACAGTTTTCTCAGAGATCTAATCGTCTCTCAGAGAAGATGCAGCAGCTGAAGCTCTGATGGCTGCAGACAGACGGAGGTGGAGCGATGTGGTTATTGAACAACGAGGCCGAGAACCGGATGAACCACATGAAAATCTTGGTGCCAGACTCGATGTTTTGCACGTTTGCTTCACTTATAAATCTGAGTTATTCATTCTTAAGCCATTTGTCACCTTCCTGCATGAAAACACTCCACCAGAACAACTAACCCTAACCCCGGAGTCACCGTGTGGCCGGGACACCATCGCTGCATCCCGGGCTGAGCGCTAAGGTTTGCTAAAGGTTTGTATTTTGTTCTTGTCTCCCTGCATGCACACATTGCACCAGAACAATCCCCGAGTCGCTGTCCTGCTGGGACACCATCCCGACAACCCGGGCTGAGCTCCGCCCACGACGACGGTTTGAAGAGAACTAACCAGCAGGACTCTTCTGATTCTGGTTGAGTTTGATGGTGTAACTGACCAGCAGGAGGCAGCATCAGGGCCTTAGTTAGACCTTTTTAACAAATGTTTTATTTGTAGGAAATCGAATTAACGCTACGACAGCCGAACCAGCAGCAGGTTTAAAATATGAACAACATTAAACCACTCATCAGCCAGAAACTGAGTCGTCAGAGTTCCTACTTTCTGACAGGACTTGAAGGTCTCATCTGTCCTGATATTTCATCCGAATTATTTTATTCTATGTGTCTCATTTAAAAACACACACTGCCAAAAACAAACCGTGTGTTCAGTCCAGATTCTGTAAAAGACGAAAAATTCTGCTCCAGGATGCAACCGGGCCGTTCTGAGACGTCCACACGGCTGCAGGCAGAGAGCTTCCTTCTTCAGTAGCGTTTAGAACTCCACGTGCATGAAGCATGTTTGTGATTTGGTCTTTTCATTTGATTTAAAACATGAAGCACATGTCGTGTGTTTCTGCAGACAGAGGAACCTCGTGTGTTCAGAACCGCTGCACGTCTTGTTGCTCTGTATATTTTAGAACTCGTTTCTCCGGACAGAGAGGAGAACCCTCGACGGAGGGAGCTGCAGATAATGAACCGAGTCACGGCGCAGACACCGGAGGGAGGCTGGGACGAGACGGAGGGGACGGCCCCGTTAATTACACCGCAGGAGATCACCGGAGGAGAGACCGGGACCTGGAGAGGGTCCACTGAGACTGCTGGTCCTGCTGGCGGCGCCGGCACGACCACAAAGTGTTTAGATGTAGACGGGCTGTGGTGTAAATATACATCTGTACTGTCTGTGGTCACAGTGGTACCGAGCAGAGCTGGACCGGCCTCTGTGTGTGTGTGTGTGTGTGTGTGTGTGTGTGTGTGTGTGTGTCACTCACCCCCGGCAGTGTCTTCTGCTCGTGCAGCGCGCTCTGGGCCTTCAGCGCCGACTCTCTCGCGCAGTACGTCAGAAACGCACATCCTGTCCACAAAAGACAAAGAAGAAGAAAAGGTCAGAGTGTTTGAGGCTCTCCGTCTTCGTCACTGCGAGTCACACGACCCGTCAGAACCAATCCAGTCAGTCACAGCCTCCTGGTTCATCAGCTGGTCTCAGGGCAGCACGTGGCTTCAAGCAGAGAACAGGTTCCACATCCAGAGTCTGAGGTTCTGATGTTCTGAACGAGGCAGATGAGCTCAACAGACAAGTTGTTTATTTCTCGGTTTGAGGGAATTTGAACCTCCGTCTCCCAGACACCGGGCTGAGGACATGCAGGATGAACCAGGAGGACCAGAGAGACGCTGAAAGGAAGATCTGGCTGCAAAATGTGGAAATATTTCATCTGCAGGAGGAACGATGCACAGAAGCAGGTTGAATCAGCAGACGGAGCTCCATCACATGTGAACGTCATCCAGAGCTGTGAACGCTCTGCAGGCGGTACGTTAAATATCCACAATCAGTCCGTTCACAAACAGCCTTACTGAGGCTAAACTCCTGCATTCTGTCTCTGTGAGGCCAGAGACCGTGAACACGTTACTGATTACTGTGAGCACAAAAACCCAGAAGTTGCCATGAAGCAGCTTTCACCAAAACCTCATCATCTGCTGGATGCTTATGTTTCAGTGAAGCAGGAAGACGTGGAGCTGCTTTCCAACATGGTGCAGTAAGTCAATGATCTAATTATTTCAGCCCAACATCTACTTTTTATTGTAATATTCTGATTGAATCTTTGTCTAAACTCAGAAAACACTGAGAAACACTTTGACTGGAGTTGGGTTAATTATCTTCTATGTTGATTCATCAGCTGATTGTTGTTTGGATTGCTTTTATAGTTTTGTCTCTAAAATGTCCTTCGATGGTGAAAACGTCGTCAGCGTCTTAAAACCAAAGGAGACGTCACCAGTCAGAGACCCAGACCACATTCACTCGTAGCCGGTATTCACCAAAACGGATCCACGCTTACATAAATAACATCGTTCACACAAACCCGCATCAACACGTGGTTCAGAGCTGCTGTGAGCTGCCAGACCTACAGGGGGCAGTGTGACGAGAAGCATAAAGCCACGCTAGCCAATCAGAATCCTGGAAAAAACTGGAAACATGGTCACACACGTATGACGCTTTAGTCGCTCACTGTGACGTCAGACTCCGTCTCCAGATGTGATGGTTTTCGGCGACTCGTAGCTTCGTCTACGTGTCAACCAAAGACCCAGACACATGGCGGTACCACCGTCTAGGCTACGGGTAGACGGGCCCTCAGTCAACCATCGACAACCGCAGTAATCAATCGATCAGGTGTCAACGATTCAGTGGATCTGATTTGATAACCGATTCATCCTTTTAATGAGAATGAATCAGTCTGAACTCTGGTTCAGCTCCTTCAGTCTGAAGGTTCTCTGGGTTCCTTCCTCTGTGACACTAAACTGGACCTCTCTGGACTGAACCAGACGTTGGAGGAAACTCTGATCCACGTTTTCACCATCATAGAAACCAAACCTGATTGATCCAGTTAGCTGCAGCTCCAGCTACCAGCCAGTAAGAGATAAATGCTTCCTGTTCCCGTT